CTGCTGGGCTCCCAGCAGAGGGGTTCCCCCCTCGGGGCATTGCTGGGGCTCCTCTGGCCCCGCTCCAGCAGGTCCCTGGCTCTGCTGTGCTGAGGACTCCAGAGCTGCCCCAGCACTGCAGGGGGGGCTCCCCAGGGTGGGGCAGAGGGGCAGGATCCCCACGCTGCTGGGGGGGACCCCAGGCCAGGTCCTCACCCCCAGGCTGTGTTGATACCGGTTGTCCCAAGCCATGTGCAGGACCTTGGTGTGGTTGAACCTCATGCAGTGCTTCTGTGGACCAGGTCTGCAAGGGTTTGGGTGCTACAGGGCCAGGCAGTGCTGGTCCATTGGAGAGGAGCAGGCATGATGCTGTGGGTCCTCTTTGTCTCCTGGCATGAAAGGACATCCTTATAGAGGGGAGGAAAACAGTTGACATTGAAGAAACCAAGGAAAATGGACTTCTGTTGAGAGCTGATGGAGAGTTTCAGCCCCAAAAGCCAGGAAGGAGTGAAGAGGACCCAGCAGCAGGGACATGACCATGCCTTGGTGACTTCCCTGCCACGCAGCCAGAGGACGTGACACCGATCTTGCAGGAAAAGCCACAGAGACCCTTTTTAAGGAACTACTCCGGAGCCTTGAGCAATTCACAAGTTTGTCATGAAGATGGACTGGAATTGGGTGAAATGGAGACATTTCATAACCCGTGGCCCAGGCTATAAGAGATGCTGTGCTCAGGACCAGCTCCACTTCACCCTGAGGAGCTCTCGCTGCCGTGTCAAGATGAGCAAGGCAAGTCCAATGGTGCCATGGGCACTTACAAACCTTCATGCTCTTTTCCAGGTGCTGGTTGGGCCACTGGAGGTGTAAGGACCCTTGGGGAGCTTCTTCTGGCTGTGTGAGCTGCCATCTGTTTCTGGCAGAGGACAACCATCTCCACCCAGGCTGATCTGAGCACAGCACACAAGGAGAGATGTCTCCTCCTGGAAGAGGCTCCCCACGGGAGAGTCCAGCCACTGGAGGGGCTTCTGGACATCAGATCTCATACCCTGTTCCTCTCAGAGCTTTCTGCAGTGCCACCAGCTATTTTGAGAGCCTTGCTCCGATGTTGCCCGACTTGCAGAGGGCACATTTTGGGGTGGGGGAGGCAGGAATGGGCTTCTGGCTATTATCTGTAGCTGTACATCTCAGAGCTGAAGGAAGCAAATGCTGCAGCCCTCTTCAGTCTCCTTTGGCTTGTAGAGAAAACTCAAATCCAGCAGCTCAAATTTATCCCCCTCAAAAGAATGACCCAACAAAACCATGCTGGGTCCTCACTGGGTGTGGGGCAAGCAGCTGGACCAGAGCCTTGCTGGTTTGGATCAGACTTCCCTCTCTACCCTGACCTTATTCAGTGTAATCGTTTTTCTTCCCAACTTCCCAGACCCAGCAACCACTCTCTGACCTGGAGAAGGCCATGGATGTCATCATCGATGTCTTCCACCAGTACTCAAGACGGGAGGGGGACCTGGACACCCTGACCAAGGGCGAGCTGAAGCTTCTGATTGAGAAGCAGCTTGCCAACTACCTGAAGGTGAGTGGAGTCACAGGAGGGTTTCTCGTGGTCCACGTGGGGAGGGAGATGGGCTGGACCCCTTTTGCCTGAATATCTCCAGGTTCTGGCTTCACCCTCTTGCTACTCTACTCTCCTGCCCCAACACCTCCTGCATGGACCCTCCCTGTCCAGCCACCACCTCCAAACACGCTCCAGAAAGACAGAGGAAGGAAATTTGTATAGGTCAGGGTGAACCTGCAGCCAAACCTCATCACCTGATCTGCAAAAGCCAGGAACATGTTCCCGAAAGTTCCTTTGCCATCTAGGAGCAATGATGTCAGAAACATCAGCCAAAAAAGCCCCTTTTTTCCCCAACTCACTTTGTTAAATTAGAAGATGGAGTCGTTTTAATCCAATACTCTAGAGGAGAGGTTTGCAGCTGGTTGAACTTTGCTGCCTTCGTGGGTCTCCACGTTGCACGGGGTCCTTGCAGCGATGCTGGCTGGTGATGGGTGATGGTGGCACAAAGGTGGAACCACTCATAGCACTGGGATACTGGGGACCTGGCACCTGTGAGGGTCCCAGCAACACCAGAGAGAGGCTTGAGATGTGAATGATGAGACTCTCACCCTCACCCTGCCCCTTCCTTTGCAGCACGTGAAGAACCAGGCCACCATTGATCAAATCATGAAGGACCTTGATCTCAACAAGGACGAGCAGCTCAGCTTCAACGAGACCATGTTGCTGATCATCCGTGTGACCACTGCCACCCACGACCATCTCCATGAGGAGGAGGACCAGCACCATCAACACCAGCACAAACACCAGCACCAACACCACCACTGAGGTGGACTCTGGTCCTCGGAAGGCGGCGCCCAGGCAGTGCTTGCAGCCCTGACTTTCTCCTCTCCATCCCCCTCCCCACCTTCCTCCTTCCCTTCTGTTGAGTCTGATGGTTTTGCTGCCAAATAAAGATTTGCCCCGAGGCTGTCAAAGCTCTTCTGTGTCCGTGTGGGTTTTCCTCCAGGCAAGTCCTACACCTTGTTCTCTCTCAGCGTGGCTTTAAACACCAGGAAAACCCCCTTGGAGACAGGCTGGAGGTTCTCAGGGGTGAGGTGGACACCTGGGGCAAGCAGGGTCATTGCAGTAGGTCCTCACAATGCTCCTTCCATCACACTGTGCTCCACAAGCAATATAGTTTATCAGATCCTTGCATTTCCAACTAGAAAAAGCTTGTTTGGGCCTGAAAACACTTTGCCTGTCTCCTAGGACTGAGCTGTGGTGGTAGTCAAGAGCTGGAAGGAAGGATGGGGATGGATGAGCCCCTTTTCTGGAGAAGCACCCTTCTTTGGGGCACTTTTGTTCTGCAGGGCCTCGACACAGGGTTGGAATCATAGGATAGAATCATTAAGGCTGGAGAAGACCTCCAAGATCAACCCCAACCATCAACCCAACAGCACTATAAACACTAAACCATGTCCCAAGGTACCATGTCCACGTGTTTTCTGAACCCCTCCAGGGATGGGGACTCCAGCACCTCCCTGGGCAGCCTGGACCAATTCCTCTCATGGAAAGGAGCTGGGAGGTGGATGTGTTTAGGTTGGGGCTACAGCCAGCAGCAAGATCTGGACACTGGGTTGTGTGTGGTCGAGAATTGAGAAGTCAAAACCAACCTCCCCAGCTGGAGCATCCTGAGCTTGGCCTGTGGAGGTGCCTGTTATTAATAGCTGCTTAGAGCCTGGCTACTGATTTACAGACATCTTGTAGATGGGGGGGGAAAGGAGCAGTTGTGATTTCCTAAGGGTGAGTCAAAGCTCTGAAATCACCCTGCTCTGTGAAGGAACCTGCCACGAGCTTCCCCAAACCAGCAGCCCTGAAGCAAACCCCCTGGTTAACACAAGACCACCACAAGTTTGCTTCACCACCACCAGCCACGTTGCTTCACCTTCCTTAGGAGGCAATTTTGACATCTCCAGCGTCAGATACTTTCTTACCAGAGTCCATCCAGCTCTGTGTGAGCCTGTACAGAGCCACATCCTGAGCTGGTTCACTGCCACCACCCTGCCACAAGCACATCACCTCCAAAAACGGAGCTGTCCCCATGGCTGGCCCGTAGGGACACGTGCAGCTTTCAGGACAAGGGCACTTCAAGCCCCATTTGCAGCAGATCAGCTTTTCAGGAGCTCAGCACCCTGCTGGGGGGTGCTCAGCCCTTCTATCCTCTGCAGCAGAAGGGTCTCCTTAGGTAAGGGGTCAAGCCTACAAATCTGGGTGCTGGGGGCACCCACAAACCACCCTGGGACCCGCAGGATCCAGGGGAACCAGCCTTGAAGCTCATGGTGCTGATGCAACAGGATATTTGCCAACACAAGGGGACTTCACGCTCCCCTGAAACCCTGAGTGTGGGGTCCCTCTTGTGTCACCCACATTTGTTGGGCCAGCACACCAAAGGTGGCAAAGAAGGGGCCACCACACACCCAGCAGGACCAGGAGACCAACGCAGGGTCTGTGAGCAAGCAAAGGTGACTGCCAGCTCCTCCTGTAACAGCAGATTGGTGCCCAGGTCCCTTCAGGGACCAATCCTTCCACCCCAACAGAGCCTGAAGCAAACAGAGAGACAGCAAAGCAGCACGAGCAAGAAGGTGTTGGAGACACTCCAACCGTGCTGGACCTCAGGCTGGTGGCCAAGCAGCTCTGCCCGTTTGGGTTTCCCCAGCAGGACTGCCCCAGCCCCACCTGCCTTCACCTCCAGGTTCTGAGGCACCAATCGGTCTCTGCAAGCTGAGGACCAGGCTCCTGCTGCCATCTGGTGGCACGGGCCACCGAGGCTACCGGCGTGGCCACAAGCCCCAGAGCAGCCCAGGTAGCCCACGGTCCTCAGGATTTCACCCCTAGCTGAGCCCATGCATCGCGGGCAGAGCCCCATCCTTTGACCCACTCCATTCATCACCTCCCCTACTCCTACACCAATCTATGGGCCGGAAACAAAACCTGAATTTTTGGGCTAAACTGACATCTCAAGGACGTGGATTGCTTTGCAAACACCCAGAACTCGTCTCACACCCCTCTGCTCAACCCACCACCCAGCTTTGTGGGCATGGGGCCCTTTTTTCTCAACCCTACAACACTTCTTACCTGGGTCCTTTGAGGAGCAGCTCAAGTTCCTCCAGGCTCAAAGCAGCAAGCAAATGGGGGATGCAAATAAAGGCAAAATCCTCCTCCTTTGGCTGTTTTGGGGGGGTTACACCCCACATCCCTCTCCCTGAGCTTTGCTCTGGTCAGCTTGAATTCATACAGTACCAAAGGCCCCAGCCTAGCCCCTACCTAAGGATTGTGTCTCCCCTAACTGCCACCCTGTCCTGTCCCATCAAGACACCCCTGAGGTGGTCCTGCCAGCTCCTCACACTGCTGACCCCCTCCCAAAACTCCCAGGCTGGAGAAAAAGGGCTGAGACCTCCAGGGCTGGGCTTTATGGACAACTCTGCAAGGAGTTGATCCAGCTGGGGCTGGTTGATGTCTCCCAGCTGTCCTGCTTGGTCCTCCTGCTCACCATGGACCCCCCTCCACCCACTCTTGATCTCCTCCACCTGCTGCAGACCCTTTGGTCCCCCATGGACCCCTCCACGTGGGGTCAGCAGCCCGGTGGCTGTCAGGGGAAGGGTTGTGCCATGCCCAGTGCTGTGGCCACTGGGGACTTTGGCACACCGCGAGCGTCACATTTGTTATCAATTTAGACGTGCAGATAAGGATGAGCCACCGTGGGGTAAAACTGGCTGGTCCTGGGGTGCTGACGAGGCCCGTGGCCAGGAGCTGACCCTCTGACATGGGCAAACGGATGCCCAGAGCCCAGCAAAGCCACCCTGACGCTGCTGTGGACGGAGACCACAGGATGGCACCGTGGTGGCAGCAGGCTGGGAGGGAGCAGCTGGCAGCAGGGAACGGCTCAGGGTGATTCAGAGCAATTTTCCTCCTAATTCCCCCCTTCCCCGGGCGGATATGTGCTAATCAGGGTGGCAGCCCCGGAGGGAGGGGTGGGTTGGTTGGAGGTGCCATGGCCGCGCGTTGCCCTCCATCCTCCTCCACAAACGCTTCCTGCCTGGTGCAGCGGCTTCCACACGGCCACGCTTGGCCACCCCCCAGCAGCCAACATGGCCAGTGGCACCCAGGGCACCCTCAGGGAGTTTGCCAACGACAC